AGTCCTCACAGTTATTGACATCTAACAACTAATAAAAAAAAATCATGTATCAAACACTAAAATGATAAAGGACAAGCACACCCACAGACTGATTCAGTATACCAGTATAATGTTTGATTCGGTATACCAGTATATTTAATGTTTGATTAGGTATACCAGTATAATGTTTGATTCAGTATACCAGTATAATGTTTGATTCGGTATACCAGTATAATGTTTGATTCGGTATACCAGTATAATGTTTGATTCGGTATACCAGTATAATGTTTGATTCGGTATACCAGTATAATGTTTGATTCGGTACACCAGTATAATGTTTGATTCAGTATACCAGTATAATGTTTGATTCAGTATACCAGTATAATGTTTGATTCAGTATACCAGTATAATGTTTGATTCGGTATACCAGTATAATGTTTGATTCAGTATACCAGTATAATGTTTGATTCAGTATACCAGTATAATGTTTGATTCGGTATACCAGTATAATGTTTGATTCAGTATACCAGTATAATGTTTTACTGTTTAAATGTTTAATCTCTGTAATAAAATTAATTTTTGTTAATAATTTGCACTTGGGTTGCTACGACTTAGTAGTGTGAGCTAACAGGGTTTTGGATGAACCATTTTTGGGCACCTTTAGTAGAAATTATACATAATCCTGAGTTATATACCACTTATTTCTTTCAAAACCCTGCAATATTTTTTGTTGCTATGTTAGAGATCTATACCTTTATTATATACCATTGGATCAAATTCCTTCTGAGGTCACTCAATATTGTTTACTTCAGTCTAAAAATGACATGATTTTGTTATTAGCTTTAGACTTAAACCCGCCCCCAATTTGTATGTTTGTTGATCCAGCCTTTAGTTCAGAATATGGATTGAGATTTATTTATAAAGCTGATAGGCTACCTAAAGTTTAATGAAAATATGAAATACTATGATTGCTACATCTCAGTAACAAGTTATTGAACAGCTGATTCAAGCCTTAATATATCAGTATAAGAAATTAAATCTTTGTCATTATTCAAATGTGGAAAATGCCAGCCATTTGCTTTGATACTTAAATCTAAATAAAATTCACTTTGAATTTAGAAAGCCTATATATGTTCAAAGAAAATGTTGGATAAGACAATATTTTCCTCTGTGCAACAGGTGCATATCTTGTGTGCAGGTTGTACTAATTGCCATTTATAATGTATTTTCTCTTGATATACATTTGTTATTAAAATCGTATGCCATTTTTCATAATTTCGAATAAATATGAATTAAAGAGACACTGACCCTTTGTATATTATAAACAAATATCAAAACTTTTGTGGATGGTATATAAGTAACTGTTAATGCTTCAAGATTGAATTGTGTTTTATAACAGTGAATTCCGTTTTCACAATTTACACAGAAATCAAACCAGCATGGTACTTTCATCTGTTTAAAGCACATATATAAAACATTTTGCCAAAATGTCTCCACTGCCACACGGGGGGGTTCATGTAAAATATGATTAAAGTATACACAATACTTACAAGAAAATTTCTTACAATAATCAAGTACAGTGCAATCAAAGTGATTCATATAAAATACATGTACAATACGCGCAATAAGATTTCACACAAAAGACATTATAGTATAAACAAGAGAATTTACATAGATTCATATACAGACATTTGGTCTCTGTAGGAGAGTTGTCTCATTTGCAACCATACTACATCCTATTTTAATATAAAACATGTTAAGTAAATCATGGCACATTTACAGTACATACTTGTTGAATAAACAGAATACTTATACACTCAATGCATACAGTGATTCATTCAGAGTACTTGTACTGAGTGCACATACAGTGATTCATTCAGTGTACTTGTACTGAGTGCACATACAGTGATTCATTCTTAGTACTTGCACTGAGTGCACATACAGTGATTCATTCAGAGTAATTGCACTGAGTGCACATACAGTGATTCGTTCAGAGTACTTGCACTGAGTGCACATACAGTGAGTCATTCAGAGTACTTGCACATTATACACACACAGTGAGTCAGATAAAGTATTTGCACATTGCACACACACAGTGATTCAGATAAAGTACTTACACATTGCACACAGTGATTCAGATAAAGGACTTACACATTGCACACATAGTTATTCAGACAAAGGACTTGTGCAGTGATCACATCGTGATTCAGACGAAGAATTTGAACACTGCTCACACCCTGATTCAAACAAAGTACTTGCAGCTTGTATACTGTGATTCTTACAAAGTATTGTCAAAGTTCACACACAGTGATTCAGACAATGTACTTGCACAGAGCAAAAATTGTAATTAAAAACAAAGAACTTGCACAGTGTACACACAGCGATTCAGACAAAGAACTTGCACAGTGTACACACAGCGATTCAGACAAAGAACTTGCACAGTGTACACACAGTGATTCAGACAAAGAACTTGAACAGTGCACACAGAGTGATTCAGACAAAATACTTGTACAGTGTCAGTATACAATAGTTGGCTCATACAAAATGTGTACAGTATACAATAGGTGACGCACACAAAATGTGTACAGTATACAATAGGTGACTTACACAAAATGTGTACAATATACAATAGAAGACTCACTCAAAATGTGAACAGTATACAATAGGTGACTCACAAAAAATGTGTATAGTATACAATAGGTGACTTACACAAAATGTGTACAATATACAATAGAAGACTCACTCAAAATGTGAACAGTATACAATAGGTGACTCACAAAAAATGTGTATAGTATACAATAGGTGACTTACACAAAATGTGTACAATATACAATAGAATACTCACTCAAAATGTGAACAGTATACAATAGGTGACTCACAAAAAAATGTGTATAGTATACAATAGGTGACTTACACAAAATGTGAACAGTATACAATAGGTGACTCACTCAAAATGTGTATAGTATACAATAGGTGACTTACACAAAATATGTACAATATACAAAAGGAAACTCACACAAAATGTGTACAGTATACGATAGGTGACCCACACAAAATTTGTACAGTATATAAAAGGTGACACACACAAAATGTGTACAGTATACAATAGGTGAATTACACAAAATGTATACAGTATACAAAAGGTGACTCAAACAAAGTGTACAGTATGCAATAGGTGACTTACACAAAATGTGTACAGTATACAATAGGTGATTAGGAAAATGTGTACAGTATACAATAGGTGACTCGGAAAATGTATACAGTATACAATGAGGTGACCCACACAAAATGTGTACAGTATACAATAGGTGACTCACACAAAATGTGTACTGTATACAATAGGTGACTCACACAAAATGTGTACAGTATACAATAGGTGACTCGCACAAAATGTGTACAGTATGCAATAATAGGTGACTCACACAAAATGTGTACTGTATACAATAGGTGACTCACACAAAATGTGTACAGTATACAATAGGTGACTCGCACAAAATGTGTACAGTATGCAATAATAGGTGACTCACACAAAATGTGTACTGTATACAAAATGTTATTCACGTCAAATCAATGTACACTGTCTTCACATGGTTATATTAATATTAATCATATATCCTTAAAGTACATAAAAGATGATTTAATTAAAATTCACTCATTTCTGTTTGATTTAACAGCCATTGGCAAGGGTATATTACTTTGAATGGCAGAATTATTTTCAAAGGCAGTGAGAGACAGGCATGATCTCTATGTGGAATCATCTCAATGAAATTAAATTGATTCTGATTGAAAAACAAACTGCAGCCTGTGTTTAATCTAACCGCTAATTAAATTCTCTATGCAGTAGAGGAAAAAATACAGGAGCCCTTGGTTTCATAACTGTTTTGCATGTCTAATTCTTGACAGTGATGTATACATCATTAACCTGATTTTTTTTATAAACAAACATCTTAGCCTGAAATAAAAATGAGATAGTGTTGACCCATCTTATATATCATCTTGAAGGTAATAATTTGTCATCAGTTGATGGCTGTTTCAGTCGCTAAATATCCAATTAAAATGGAAACAACCATGAACTTTTACTGGTAGTACTAATGATTAACTACTGGTAAACAAAATCCTAAATGTTAGTTTTGTACATTTATGGCATGGTTAAACATGAAGGACAGATTTACAAATAAAAGAATTTGATATTTGGTTGACAGGTGGTCTTTTCAAACGAATGTGCATTTTAGCTAGCAAACTAATTAATTTTATGTGTGTTCTTTCCATTAAGAGTAGAATGTCAAAGTCTTTTAAAATCTAAGTAGGAGTTATCTACCATGCTGGCAGATATTTTAAAAGATTCAGATAATAAACCTAAGATTGAATACTAAAAAATCTACAGTAATAAATATTTGTTGTTGTTTATTTTATTTCTGCTTTGCCATAAAACCAATCAACCAATTTTCCAATAGCCGTTTGCAGATACCAATGTGCACAAAAATAAAAAAAATATATAATCTTATAGAAATGAAAAAGTACCTCATTCCAAGAAAGACAACTGTTGTAATATTTAAAAAAGAAAACAGACATTAAGAAGTATTATACCAATCCATTGTAATTTATACAGAATACAAAATGTACTGACAGCCTTATGCTCCATTTGAGAGTTAAGACAGAAGAAGATGTAATGGTTTTACTATGTACATTTTACTGCAGAGATACCTCATCCCTCCCCATATTTTATTGCAACGGATGGGTTCAATTTGAATTCAATCAAAAGCTATTTAGAAATACTTATTTATTGTGATTTAAACCAAAAGTGCTCAGATAGAACTCATGTCGATAATGGTAAGTCACTTGAATCAAATTTCTGTATCACATCATTCAAGCAGTTTTTGGTTTACTTCTACTTGTATTGTTGACCTGCAAGCAGAATGTTTTGAAAGGTAAACCAAGCTTGATTTTTGTCAATGAAACAAAAAAACCTTTACCTGGCTTTTTGAATAATTACTAATCAGTTCTTCTGTGTATATTTTCAGGAACAAAAAGCAAAACCAGTCAAATCATCTACACCACCTAGTGACGAGAAGGAAGATGATATATCAGAAACTCCACCTCATCACATGCAAAAGAGGATCAGAAGAGGGGCAGTCAGTGCAGAGGTGTATAAAGAGGAGGATGCAGCTCAGTATGTCAAAAAGGTCAGAGGTTGTTCGTTGTAATGTTATTTAAATTTTTTGATTTTTTTGTCCGCCTTCTACCTCGGTAAGAAAATTTCATAGGCCGATGCGGCTCTCCGAAGCAGGGGCAACATTTTTTGTCCGCCATCTACCTCAGTGATTTTTTTTAGTTCAGAAACTACTGCCAAGGGTCAAAGTAAACACTTGTCACAATGCCGATATGCAGGTTTGATTATGGACTACCCAAACACATATGAAGCCAATGGCAGTTTGATGTAATCTATACGAAAAACAAATCTTCTTATTTTAAGGAAACATCATTTCATATTTTTCTTTTCTTGGACAAATGTAAGGTTCACATGTGTTTTATTGCTTGAAATTTTAAGTCTTCAATCTCCAGTTTTTATACGACCGTATATTGGTATCACGTCATCGTCAACGGAGACATTTGGTTTCTGGACAATAACTTTAGTTTAAGTGTATGGATCTCTATGAAATTTAATCAAAAGGTTCAATACCACAAAAGGAAGGTTGGGATTGTTTTTGAGGGGTGATGGTCCCAACCGTTTAGGAATTAGGGGCCAAAAAGGGGCCAAAACAAGCATTTTTCTAGTTTCAGGACAATAACTTGTGTATTTTAGTATTATGATTGCTCTGAAATCGTACCACTAGGTTCAATACCACAAGTAGAAGGTTGGGATTCAGTTTGGGGGTAATTGCCCAAACCGTTCAGGAATTGGGGGCCAAAAAGGGTCTAAAACAAGCATTTTTCTAGTTTTCAGACAATTACTTTGTGTTTTAGTGTATGGAAGTCTCTTAATTTGTACCACAATTTACAAAAAGAAAATTTCTTCAAAATTATTTTTTTTTGAAAAAGGGAGGGAGGGGGGTGGGGTGGGGGGGGGGGGGGGTGGGGGTGGAGGGTAAAACAAATTTTTGGGAGGGGGGAATTTTTTTACTCAAAAGAAAAATTCTCTTAAAATATTTTTTTTTTGAGGGGCGGGGGGTAAAAAACAATTTTTTTTTGGGGGGGGGGGGGGGGGGGCAATTTATTTTTCCTTAAGATTTAAGAAATTGTCAATTTTCCAAAGAAAAAAATTGGGGGTCACAATTTATTTTGCTGATTCTTTGTATATAGTCTGAAAACAGTTTTACAAAGTATTGCACAACAGCACAGTGTATTGCACAACAGCAAGAAATCTTCAATTGAATATAAATTCAAAAAATCATACAACCAATTTCAAGTTCTTTGACTACATTTATTCTGTGTCAGAAACCTATAATGTGTCAAATATTTAATAACAATCCAAATTCAGACCTGTATCAAGCTTGAATATTGTGTCCATTTTTGCCCCAACTGTTCAGGATTGGACCTCGGCGAAGCAGTTTATTTTGCATTGATTTCTTGTATGATAAAAATAAGACTGCATTAAGAAAGGCGATTTGGAATTATATAACATAAGGAGATGTTGAATATATAACAACATATATCTTGAAGTCATACTAACAAGACAAGTGTATATACAAAATGTCAACTCAAAATTATCCTGAGTCCAATAAAATTGTGAAGAGATTAAACTGAGAGTTTCCGAGATCTCTCATCAATACCAACTTCCCACTTGACAACAAAAGTACGTTATCTATTTTACAGAAAAAAATGCTTTGATAATTAACCATGGAAGTACTATATTGACAATATAGTACTTTCATGATAAAACCAATCTTGCTGGATGTAGAGATAAAAATCGTAATTTATTTAGGCTCTATGACAAAGTTAATCTTGTTTAATAAAAAGAAACCATAAGAATCTTTCCATCTTTAAGAAATCAATAAATTAAGGATTTTTAAAATTCTGTCAATATCACTTCAATAATTAAGTCTTGGAAAACTGGATGACTTTGATTGAAAACGGGGAAACATATTGAAAGATTGTTCTGTTGAATTCCACACAAAAAAAACAAGACAATTTTAAATACCTGGACAGAGGTTGAAAAAGGATGTTCTAGGTCCAAATCTTACCAAATCTTTATGAACAACCTTGGACTGTTTAACAAGGCAATGCAGTTTCATCAAATTAAAGCGACCAGGATTAGATTATTTGAATAAATAGAAAGTGATGTTGAAATGCAAAAAAAGAAACAATCAAATCAACACATTTTGTGTCATGAAATGTAAATGAAAAAAACCAATTCTCATGAAAGTAAATACTCCCACCATTAAATTGAATATTTCAGAACCTATGTAATTTAACAGTGAAAAAACCTAATACATTTTCTGTATAACTTGAACAGAGTGTGACACATCAAACAGTATAAAATGAAATGTATTGAATTTATTTATTGACTGTAACATTTTTGATTGAAAGTAAATTAATTTTAATTGACAGGATATCAATTTCGATAGCTTTATGATGGTTACTCAAATACATCATGAAATTGTATCACAAATTTACTGTCTGATTCTATATTGTGTAATTTTATAGAACAGTTGAAATATTAATGGATATTTTTCGGATCATTATTGTCAAATTGTACACATCTGATTTCAATATTTACAAAATGAAAAATTAAAAATATCCTTTGAATTAAGGCCGAGATGGTTTCAAAACTCGAAATTGGAGTTTCGTTCATATTTTTGAAAATTAGAATTTTTCACATGTAGATTCACATTTTTAATTCTAAATAGTTTGTCTCTCATTGTTTCTAAAATTGTGTAGGTTACAATAACAACTTTTTACATAAAGCTTGATATTTAAGAAGGAAGAAGAGCTAAACAATACATATTTTTATGCCCCCGCCATAGAGGAGGGGCATTAAGTTTTACCCTTGTCCGTCTGTACGTACGTACGTCCCAAAATTGGTTTCCGTTCTCTAACTTTAGTTTGCCTCAACCAAATGTTATGAAACTTATACACAATGCTAATTACCACAAAACACAGATTAAGTTTGAAATTTGGTGGCGTCACTTTTTTGTTATTTGAAATGTATACATGTTTTCATGATTTCACTTTTATTATTATTTGTTTATGTTAAGGTCAGTTTCCTAATAAATTAATAATAAGCAAACGGTCACCTATATTAAGTTTGTAGAATGATTGTAAGGAATGGGTTATGATTTTGGTCTGACAGGAGACACAAAACCTTGACCTCATTTTCATAGTTCAGTGACTTTCACATTAAGTTTGGTTATAGATCAGTTTCTAATTTTATCTTTGAGTTTGACCTTATATGTGCAGTCTGTTTACTGTTTTATGGAAAAATAAACATATGTGTATCCCATAATAGTTTGTTTAATATATGATGGTTAATGGGATCTTGAACACTTTCAGTAAATTATTATGTCAAAATCAAATTTGCAAGACCTCTCAGTATATATCCACAAAAGTTTGGGACAAACCAGTTTGAAATTTTTAAAAGAAATTGAAGTTAAACAGAAAAAGTTTGATAAGATTAGATTTTACTAAAAGATGCCAATTTTTCTATTTTTACTTGTATTTAAGTGTGTTTTATTAGCTTAAAATGATAGACCAATAAATCAAATCTTGTGCTAATTTTTTTATCATGTAAATTTTATTTTAGCTGTGATATAGCCAATGTGTGCTGACAGATAGACGGTCACCAAGCAATCAATCATTCAGAATATCTTTACTTTTTTATTTTACCTTTACTGTTTTCAAATCTTTTAAATTTTTCAGTTTTCTCATTTCCCTGAATAAGCATTATTATGATTTACTTAACTTAATATAACAGGTGTGATAAAGTTGTTTCTAAAAGTAAAATTATATAATGCTAATGTTATGATCAGCAAATCATATACAACTTCAATTGAAATATGAAAAGATATAGATTGTATAAGTAATACATAGCACTAAGATGCATTTTTAAAAAAAAGGGAAGTGAAATCGATTGAAATATCTTCACTCCATTTAAAAAGTTTGCACAAGCATTTTGACTATTTCCTCGGTTGTTTCCAGAGTTCTTGAAATCATTTTTGCTTGGGTGGTCCTTGAAGAAAATCTGCTGGTCCTCACTGTTATTTCTATTTCTTAATACCAAAATTGTGTTGGTCCTTTGCAAAATTTTGGTGGTCAAAACCTTCAGACATCATCACTCTTCAAGAACTCTTGTGTTTTCTAAATAAATATTGGTATTGTAATTAGGCCATCTTTTCATGTTATGTCATATTATAGAATAGAGAATTATAAGAAAGGGGAAATTGTGTCGAAGAGACAACGACTTAACCAAAGAGCAGAAAACAGCCTAATATGCCAGAGTTATCTGTCCTTAAGACAGCAATTTTTCACTTTGATTTTAAAATATTATCTAAGTGCCAAAATAATTGACTACTCGAAATATAGATGTTATTCTGGTAATTCATCAATACCTCTTTTAACATTGTCTGGTGTCAGAGAATTTTATGGTTGCACACAATAATGAAAAAAAGAAAGAAATTCACAATATTCCTAATCCTAAAAGAACTTACTCCAAAGAATCAAAACTTGAAATTAGAAGAAAGGGAAGTAACTGTTGAAATCTATCAAGTCTGTAGGACAGCCATTAGATATGTAACACTTCATTTGGACTCTATATATACGAGTGCTTGTAAGAAGTACATTAAAAAATGTATCCCTAAAAATGTTGAGTTCGTATTGGCCAGAGCTGTAGTTATAAACTTTTATTATTGTTGCTGTTTTCTAAAATACCCTCCATATCCAGTGGCAGTCTTAAATTTTTTCACCTGTTATTAGGGTCTGCTCACTTTTCAGAACATACCTATTTTGATTTTATTTTGAATTCAATTGCATCCTGAATAAGCATGCCCTATTAAATAGTATTTGCGACTGGAAGATAATCCAAGATCAATTAATACATCTTTTATAAAGGGATGTCGAATTACATGGACAAAAAACATAAAATAACTATTTTGTTCTGATAAATATAAAAATAAGAGGATAATGGTATGATTGCAAATGGGACAACTCTACCTTACCAAAGACCTTATGAAATTGTTGCAACTTTAAA